TGAACCATAGCGCTGTCTGTCTGGTGGGCGGGACGGTATTGTGACTGAGTGAAACTAAAGCCTAATTCATACTTTTACGTCTGCGTGGAGAGCCACCATGCGGGGCAGATTGAAGGACGCATGGCAGAAGAAGGTTTATTATGACCCACACTTGTATAGCGTTCTGAATGGGGATGAGCTACAATGTAGCCACAGCTGTCCTTGGGCAAACTGACAGAGCACAGGCGCCACCGGTCCCTCCGATCACACCCAGCAGGCAAGGTGGGTTTAGTGTCTTGCCCAAGGACACAACAGCAGCATTCTTTATCCAGAGCCGGGATCGAACCTGCAACCTTCCGATTACTGGACAACCCACTCTACCTCCTGAGCTACTGCTGTCCCACTCGTAACTAAAGAAGTACAAAGACATGCAGCAAGTGTTTTATTCGTAGACGTAAATCATGAGAAATGTGGGTTTAGACGTGCCAATCACATGAAGAGAATAATGTACCATACCAGTTTGTTTCTATAGCACATTTAAAATGCAGCATGGGAGCTGTGCTCAAAGCGCTGCACAGGCAGGATCAATGAAACCAAATAAAGGCAAAAACAACAAGGATAAAACGATACTGAACAGTGTAACAGATAAAAAACAATAAGACACATTAAAACGAGTCACTGTCTAAAGGCCAGGTCGTAAAAGTGGGTCTTTAAACAAGATTTAAAAGTCATCAAAGAGGCAGCCTGCCGGACTGTAATGGGAAGTGAGCTCCACAGCTTAGGGGCAGCATAGACAGCAGCTCATTCACCCCTAGATCTGTAGCACATCTGGGGAGTGCAAAGCTGCAGGAGATCAGCTGACCACAACGTGCGCGTACAGGCACATAAGGAACGAGCAGGTCGGACAGATAAGGAGGTGCCAGGTCATGAAGTGCTTGAATAAGGGACAAATTCATCCATGTTAAAAAGTCTACATTAAAACAATATAAACGCGACAGTAAAATATCTTGGATCAGATACGTGACAAGGCGGGTTTGCCCAAGGACACAACAGCAGCATTCTCTGGTTGGAGCCGGGATCGAACCTATAAACTTCTGCTCTAAGCCAGCTCAGAGGTAACGGTGAACATCAGAACAGTTGGCCGTGCGGCATGTTCAGCAGAAGAGTTAAGGATCCAGACTGAGGCTGGGAGAAACAGCAGCAGATCTGAGTTACAGGAAGAACCTGATTAAAAATACATCACAGACTGTCTGAGCTGCAGAGACAGGCAGAGAGCTCTGGGTCCAATAAGGAGAAGAGCCGATCGCTGATCTTCATCTGCTGAACTGAGCAGAGCCACAGAAAAAACAAAGCTCTCATCGTCCTGCCACACCTTATTGACCTTTAAACTGGTAAACTCACTGGCATCTTCATTAGATACACAAATAACTCATCAACCAATCACATGGAGCGGAGACCCTGAAGGAAATATGTTGTTGTTTTAAAACTTATTAGTTTTAATTTAATCTATTTCATACTATTCAACCAAACACCAGCAAAAAAAGCATTTCATTCATTTAATATTAGGGCAAATTTGACTAAAAATGTATTAATTGTTCTTTTATTACACTTGAAATGTGTGTATGATCTTACCTGTCCTGTCAGAACCAGATCAGTTCCTGCAGTGAACCCTACTCCCTGGTTTAATGACAGCCTTCACAGCCTGACGCGCCAATGCAGAAAAATTGAGCGTTTGTGGAAGAAAACCCATCTCTATGTCCATCTGCTGCACCTAAAGGATCTTCTGTCATCCTTTAACTCTGCAGTCAGAGATGCTAGGGTTTCCTATTTCTCCAACCTGGTGTCCCAGAGCAAAGGGAACCCCAAGGTGCTGTTTAACACCATCAGCAGCATCGTCTCTCCTGCCTCTCCTACAGCCTCCATCCACTCTGTTGCAGACTGTGAGAACTTTCTGTCTTTCTTTGTGGACAAAGTCAATAAGGTTAGATCTAGCATTTCTCCTTCAGCCTTATCGCTGCCTCTCCCGACTCCAACCAGGCCCATCATCCTAGATAGCTTTGCTCCTGTTTCTTTGCCTGAGTTAACCAAACTAGTTAACTCTATGAAGACCTCTGCATGCCCCCTCCACATCTTACCCTCATCTTTGTTTAAAAGTGCTTTTCAGTTCATCTGTCCCAGCGTGCTCTCTATAATTAATGCTTCTCTGGTTTCTGGTCAGGTCCCTGCTTACTTTAAGAATGCTGTAATCCACCCACTTCTTAAAAAACCAAGTCTCGACTCCTCTCTCCATAGCAGCTTCAGACCCATCTCTAGACTTCCGTTCATCTCCAAGATCTTGGAAAAGGTTGTGGCTAAACAACTCACAGCTGCTCTTGATGAACAGAACATCTATGATTGCTTCCAGTCAGGTTTTCGTAGAGCTCATTCTACTGAAACAGCTCTTCTTAGGGTCAGTTGGCACCGGTGTCAATGGGGCTCAGCACTGCCCCTATCATTGAGGCAGGGTACTGCCTGCCTCCTCGGTGCATTTTCTCTGCATGTTTATAGCCGCTTAGAAGGCTAAATTTGTCACACACAGATCTTAAATAATTCAGACTGTAGAATGTCATCATGTGCAGCTCATGTGTAATTAAACATGTATTTTGGCGATATAAAGACAGACATCGGTGAGCGTGCACCAACTTCCTGTGTCAGTGAGTGTGTGTGGCGCTGCTTTGTGAGAACGGAGGCAACTCTCATCTCTGCCTCTGGAGGGCGCAGCACCACACACACTTGATACAGGTGGTGTTTCTCAATGACAAGGAACCCTGCCTTGATGTCTTGGCCCCGCCCCGGTTGCCTAGGAGATACATCATCAGGAGCCGCCAAGACATGTTCCAATGTTCATGTTCTACCAAGGCGTGTGTTCTCCATTTGTTAGCCGTTTAGCTAGCTGAGCAAGGATACACGGGAGGTGTCTTGTAGCCTAGCCTTGGTCAAAAATTACCCAGAATACACAGCAAACATCCAGATGGCTGGATTCAAAAGGACGGCGGATCAGAAGCCAGTAGCTACTTCGTGGGTAATTTTCAAGTTTAAAAGTAAGTCAACTAACTTAAAATGTTTTTTTTACATCCAAAAACATTATCTATGGTTGGTTAGTTGCTTAGTAGTTGCAGCTTCGGTGGCTAGCGGGTAGTAACTCGCTTATATATTTAATTTAACAAAAATATACACAATTTAAAAAGTAAAAGGTCGTTATATATTCATATTGAAACTAACACATATAAAATATAACGTTATCTGCCATGTCACGTGGCGTTACTTGACCGCTGTGGAAGCCGCGGTCCCGTGATGCAAGTCTGTTCCATTTAATCGTTTTCTTTGACCAAGAAAGGACCGTGTCCTCGTAAGCAAGGCGTCTGGCCTTGCAACAGAAACAGGGAGGCGCATGCATCAGTGTGTGCGGGGCCGCTCAGAGAGAGCGGCGGCAGGATCGTCTCTGTCTCTCCTCGCACTTCTGCATGTATATTTGACCAGAGAACAGGTAAATTCAGTGATTTTAATCAATCATACAGAAAACTAATGTATAGAGCAGTCAGTGGACACATAGACCTTATATCAAATCATTATTGGTATTTCACTAGTCACAATGACAAGGGAGACAGTGCCTACTCTGGCTGCATGCCACTGACATGGAGGTACTTCTAAACGTGGTGGAAACTACCGGCTGAAGTTCAAACTGAGCATCAGACTGGAAAGGAAACAGGATTTTAGGGACTTTGACATTGTTTGGCATGGTTGTTTGGTAAAAAAAAAAACAGGCTAGTCTGAGTAATTCAGAAACTGATGATCTACTGGGATTTTCACCAACAGCCTCTAGGGTTTACAGAGACTGGCCTCTGAGCAGCAGTTGTGTGGATATAGAGGTTTTGTAGAGGTCAGAGGTCAGAGGATAAAGGCCAGTTGGTTCTAGATGACAGAAAGTTAATGGTAGCTTAAACACCAAATAGTTCCAACCATGATCTGCTGAACAGCATCTCTGAACCACAGCATGTTGAAACTTGGAGCAGATGGACCTCAACAGCAGAAGACCACTAGCCTAGTGAACTAGACCAAATTCTTGCTTTGCAAAGTTTGGTCTAGGCACGCTCCATTGGAACCTCCGCAGCTCCTACCAGGACTCTGGCTAGCCAATCACAGCTCTCTAGAGGAGTTTCAAACACATAAAGAGCTGTGATTGGTCCATAATGGTGGGCCAATCATAGTGCTCTCTATCTGCTTAGTGAACAAATCACAGAGCTTTATCCGCTTTGTGGGCCAATCAGGGCACTCTATATGCCTGGTGGGTGGGATGATGCAACAGAGTGAAACAAGAGTATGTCACATTCATTGTCCAGTGGAATGTGGAGATCATTTGAAAGACAACGGTAGAACCCGCCCCACAACCGAGAGCCGTCAATGGAGCATGGCCAGACTAAATAATACATTTATTTAATCTGGCTTGCCAGGCTAGAAGACCACATCATCTCTAACTGGTTTCTGGAACATGATGATGAGTTCACTGGTCTCCAACGACCTCCATGACCATCAGAACTTAATCCAGCCCAGAAGCTTTGGTATGTGGTGGAACAGGAAGTAACTCTGGGATGATGACATGTAAGTATGGACCAGAAGCTCTGAAGAATGAAAGTGGTCCAGCCATACATGACCCATCTGCAGAGGCTCCGACTGACATTACTTTCTCTCGATCGTGCAAACATCGTTCAAACATCTCAGATCTGATTTCATCTCCACAATGAGACGGTTTGTTACAGAGTGGGACTCTTGAAGATGAAACTTAGTTGTTATTCTTCAGTAAATACTGAACAAACTAATGTTCAAGGCCAAATGAACTCCTGCTACTTAAACTTTCCTAAACAGGAAAAGGGTTTGTGTTGCGGATGTTGCTTTAGAGTAAAATCATCAGATGACAGCATCAGTTCTACAGCAGAATAAGTGCATTACTTTGTGTTCATAAGAGAATCAAGAGGTGAACCCACCATCCTGACATGGTGAAATCACGGTACAGCATCCTCTTCCCCACCTCCTTCCTCTGAACTCTCCTTGGGAACTCCAGATGGGTAAACTCATTCCCTAAGAGCTGTGGCTGCATGTAGGCCTTTAAGACAAAAACAAACAAACAAATAAATAAAATAATTAGGGAAGAAGGATGACATGCCCAAGGCAGTGGAAAAACAGTCTGTTCAAGTGGCAGAGAGAGAGAGAGAGAGAGAGAGAGAGAGAGAGAGAGAGAGAGAGAGAGAGAGAGAGAGAGAGAGAGAGAGAGAGAGAGAGAGAGAGAGAGAGAGAGAGAGAGAGAGAGAGAAAGAGAGAGAGAGATACACAGCTGCTGAGTCTCTGACAGCTGTGCTTGACAGAAACCAGCGATCTTACCAGGAACTGCAGCCGCTGCCTCTCCGACTCCGGTGTGAACTCAGCCGACATGGGAATGACTTCCCCAGCTCGGATAATGATAGCTCTGAGGAAGAGGAGCAGAAAAGGCTCCGTTTATTTAGAGACACATCTGCTCCACGTTGGATAAAGAAGAAGAGGGAGGAGGAGGAGAGCAACAACAAACACATCCCGTTACATGTGTGTGTGTGTGTGTGTGTGTGTGTGTGTGTGTGTGTGTGTGTGTGTGTGTGTGTGTGTGTGTGTGTGTGTGTGTGTGTGTGGAGTTGCACCTGCTGTCTCCTGCGTTCCCGACGAAAACCTTCCCCTGTAGGAAAATCACCACCAGAGCAGTGCAGCCACCTGAGATGTTGTAGACCGCCTTCTCCTTTTCTATCTGCACATCCTGAGCGCACACACACACACACACACACACACACACACACACACACACACACACACACACACACACACACACACACACACACACACCTTTTGTCTCATATTCAGACTTTCCCCCAATCTTACAGTGGAATGAAGCATGTCTTTATTAACCAGAGCAGCGGAATTTCATTCATTCATCGGAAATAGCCAGAAGTAAATAAATAAAATAGTCAAATATCAGAGAAGGCTTAGCGGGTAGGCTGGCCATTACAGGACTTAATTAGCCCAGATTCATTTGGAGTTAATTAAACCTAAAAAAAAAAAAAACAGTTAATAAAAACTTGTGCAATTGGTCCATTATTTGGATGAATGATTAACCCGTCAATTCATTAATCAAAGTGGTGGCTGGCTAACTTAACCCTTTCATGTCTTCGTAAGCTTCTCTCCAAGGCCTTCAGCTGAAGCGGGTCTCAAGGAGCTAATCCCGCCCTCAGGCGCCTCGTTCTCGTCCTCCTATCAGCATCAACAGATTGACTCAAAATGCTCCCTGAGGAGTCCACCGTGATGTTCATTCAGATGGTTAACGCAGCTCGGGAAAGGCATGTTACAGTTAACATTGGGATTCAAATGCATACGTGCAATGTGTGTGCGGGTGTGTGTGTGTGTGTGTGTGCGCTAGACAATTCTGGGGGTGAACAAATGTGTCCTTCAACCTGGATTAAAGATGAATCCATAGCCAGCCATCCATATTTATGGTTCTATCCAGAGCTGCTTGCTGCAGGCGAGTCTTTAATAATGAAAATGTCTGCATAAACATTCACACCTCTCTCCACCTCAACTCAGCTACAGTGAGTCCAACAACAGATGAATAACCACAGGGAACACAGATAGAGAGGAATTCCCAAATACGCACCACATCCCATAGTGCCAAGCTGCTTTAGCTACCAGTTTATGTCAAAACTGCTGATGTCTGATTTAATGTCTTCATAAGAGAATAGGAAGGAGTCATCCGTTAGTCCTGCCGAAAAACCAAAGAGAAATCTAACTACCAACCCCCAAAGCGCAGTCCAGCTAAGGGATGGAGCAGAAGCCCAAATACTGAAAAATCACTTCTGAACAAGCTGAGAAAAAACTTATTCTTCACATGAATGAGAACATTTTATGTTTTGTGTCTACAGAGCAAAGGTAGGCACAGTATATGATAAAATATTACCGATGCCATTTATCTTCAATACTAATATTTTCGTCAGCTTGAATTTAGACCCTGAAATAAAACAGTTAGTTTCAGTGACGCTCCGCCCACACCCGCTCTGACGTGCCTACAACGGCGTCTTGGGGAGTCAGTTGCTGTACTGGCTATGGTAGTCCAGTGGTTAAGACCAGTCTACCTACTGGACTACCAGTCACCGAAGCCACATTTCCTATGCTGGCCAGGAGAGACACGTTTCTGACTAGAGACTAGCTTCTGAGAGAGGAGCAGGTGCCTGATGACGAGACTTGTTCCCATCAAGGCTTTACAGGATTTTTAAAGGAAAATACAAAATTTGCAGCTGAAACAGGAAAATGCATGAACACAGCCAAAATGTTTGTTTTTTTCATGAGGAAATAACACATAGTAAAAATTTCCTAAATGTGGGTTTTCCATGATATGGCCCCTTTAAATATATATTGAAATAAAATAATGTGGAAATAATAACAAAAAAAAGGCAAGACACTTGAATGACCTCAGTTTGGAGAAAAAGAGATTAGCTCTCGCCAGAAAATTGAACAAACAGCATTTAATAACAACCTAATTCTGAGATATTTTGCTCATTCGTGTCAATGTTCATTTAAACGTGAATGAAAACAAGAATGCACGTATTAAAACAAACGAGTCCACTCTGTTGCCGGTTATGGATCAGCACCAGAAGATTCTAGATGAGTGAAGGTGAGTCATACACAGTCAGTAAATAGGTAGATGAATACATTTCACTGTACTAAGAAGTTGAAGTTGGTAACTGAAAAAAACTACCATGAGATATCTATTTTAGAGGTGGTGATTATGGCTTACAGCTTATGAAAACCCCAAATTTAAAAATTCAGACAATTAGAATATTGTAAAATGGTTCAATTCTAGACAGACACACACACACACACACACACATCAGCTAATGAATCCAAAACACCTGCAAAGGGTTTTTCAGTCTTTAGATCTGGATGGCCGGTATCCAGCACGTTTTGGTTTTAACACACCTGATTTCAATCAGCAGGTGAATAACAGGCTTCTGCAGAGCCTGATGAGCTGCTGCACAGGTGACTCAACCACTGAAATAAGTGTGTTGGAGCATAGAAACCACAAAACCTGCTGGATAGAGGCCCTCCAGGAACAGGACTGGGCACCACTGCTTTAGATGGTCTCTCAGTCTAAGTTGAGTTACTGAAATAAATGGACTTTTTCACCATATTCTAACTATTCCAGTTTCTCCTGTATGTTTGGCCCACAAGATCATACATCAAATGTGCATTAGAAATGACCCGCGAGCACAAACACTGTTAATACTACAAATGCCAGGATGTTTTATTGCGTTAACTCGTCAGTCAAGAACACAACACATTCACCCGCACAGACTTGGCAACCCCGGGGCTCAAACATGATTGGCTCTGGATCCTGAAGTATAGAGGTAGGACAGACTCTAAACAAAAGCCTCTTTTTATAAAGCAATGCCGTTAATTAGCTGCAATGCCGTGGCGGCATCAGAGAGCCTTAGGTTGTTTATAAGTGGTCAGCCCGTGACAGTAATGTGGCGCAATTGTGTTCTTTTTATGAAGGATTAGGCGATGGCGGTATTAAGTGGGCATGGGGGTGGTCCCTGCGCTGCAGCGGACTTCCGTTTATCTGGGACATAACTTGCTTTTATTGCGATTAAAGCCGTAATCGTTACGTTTTTTTAACAAGCCGTTCCTAAAGGTGTCCCGGTGCATTCTCTGATGATCTGAGCTCTAACGGAGCAGATCAGCTGATTTTGTTCAAAATGCAAAACTTGTGTTTACTTTTATTTTCAATATAGTTGCCGGCCGGAGCTCAGTAGTAACTCCTCACGTTATCATGACACTTCGCCAAGGTGCAATCGCCGTTTATAAGACAGACAGTTACTGCTATAGTACTACTAAGCGAGGCGGAACAAATGCTGCTAAATTGCAGGATTAACAGTAAATCTGGATGTTTGCTGGTTTAAATCAGGAACTAAAGAGAAGGCTTGGTGGAATAAAGAGAGTGGATTAGGGAGCTGGCCTGAATGCCACAGAACGATGGAGAAACCTTGATTGACATGGCAGGTAATTAATTCAATAAATCATTTTGAACTATAAACTACAGATGTGACATCTTGCGTGTCTTTAAAGGCAAGTTGGAGCTCAGAGCAAAATCTCTTAGAAAACTGGCAAATGCTCCATTAATGAAAAGATGCTCTCTTGACAATGAATCCTCCTTTTGAACTATTATCAAGTGATAGAAAAGATAAAAGCCATCATAAAGCTCTCACATCACAGATAGATGTTCCAGCATTAGTTCAGCTCCTGATCTAACATGGGCTGTACTCTGACTCGGGTCATCTGAATCAGAGGATCCAGTCTTCACTAAACAGATTAGTAGTTAAGCCTCCAGGTCTGAGCCTCAAACTGGTTCTAATACTAAGAAGAAGAAGAAGAAGAAGAAGAAGAAGAAGAAGAAGAAGAAGAAGAAGAAGAAGAAGAAGAAGAAGAAGAAGAAAGTATCATTTCTATAGCGCCTCTCAAGATAAAAATCACGAGAAGCTTCACAAAAACAAAAAATGTAAAACTATAAAAAATAATTTAGAAAATGGTTAAAATATATATTTAAAATGAGCAAAAAATAGGCAATTGTGATTAAAAAATGTAAAGAAAGAGAGAGAGTGAATAGGAAAGAGGGAAATCAGTGGATCCTGAGGAAGGTGGAATAGGTGGGGAGAGCAGAATAAAGAGAGAGTGGTGAAGAAGGTCATACAAAAGCCAGTTTGAACAAGTGAGTCTTCAGCTGCTTTTTAAAGGAGACCACTGAGTCCACTGATCTCAGGCTCAGGGGGAGAGAGTTCCAGAGTCTGGGGGCCACAGCAGCAAATGATCTGTCATCTTTGGTCTTTAGCCTGGTGCTGCACAACCAGTAGGCTTTGATCACTGGACCTCAGGGACCTGCTGGGGGTGTAGGGACTAACCCCCAAATTCCACTACCTCCGCTCCGACACGAACGTCGGAGCAAAATCAGTCCCGTTGTAGTCAGTCAGAGCAATTCCACTACTGCGGCCGTGCTCCGGCAGTGCGCCGCCCTCTGTTCCGGCGTCCGGCAAAAATAGAATCGATCCTATTTCCGCCGGACGCCGGAGCACCTCCGCAGTAAATGGACAGAAATCACAACCGTCCAACGGGAAAACGAGCAAGCACAACTTCCGTTTTTCACAATAAATCGATAAACAAAAGGCGTTTTTTGTTTCATATGCACAGGTTTAACAACTTTTAACAACTGTCAATGGCGGCTGAAGTTTAAATGCACAAAAGTAAGCCATAAATACAGTTTCCTCTATCAAAGTAGTCACACTTTGTTGATCCAAACACTGCTGATCTCTCAACACAAATGATGGGCAGATTAAACAGCTCATGCCGATGCTTCTCCCACACAACGGGTGTTTGGATCTAACTTCCGCGTTTATTGCTCGGACTGTATCGCAAGATCTCGAAAATCCCGCGCATGCCTGTTTGCTCACCTCAGGTCTCCGCACCGGAGCGGAGCCGTTGTAGAGCGGGTAGCAGTAAAAATTGAGTTCGGAAGCGAGCGGCTGCGGAAGGCGGGGGTGGAGCGGAGCGGAGGTAGTGGAATTTGGGGGTAAGAAGATCACCAATGTAAGATGGTGCTTGTCCATGTAAGGCCCTATAGACCAGAACCTGGATCTTGAAATGAACCCTGAAGTTGACTGGCAGCCAGTGAAGCTGGAGGAGAAGCGGGGTGATGTGGGTGTGTTTGGAGGACTT